GAATGATGTTTTTCCTTTTGACCATCCCATGTTTTTCCACTGCTCCATCTCGGTTTTCACTTACATTAATAAAAAATGCATTAAGAAGAGCAAGATCTTGGAACAGTGCACAATGTCTTTGGACTGATAGTGCTGGGAGCCTTCTATCAGGAAGCACCCTGTATTTTGGGGGTATTTATCTGGGCCAACACACTTGTTTTGACATCGTGATTATTTGTATCAATCGTTAAATGGATCTGTATCCTGGAACATGCATACCAAATACATAAAAAGGCTCACACAGCTTTCCCAGGTTAGCATTATCAGGAGTTGCAACAACTATATTTATATATTTTATTGGAATTCTACCTAACTTTCTTCCAAAGGACTGAAGGCAGAGAACAAACTTGGCAGGAGACCGAAGGCAGCCTAAATAGTAAAAGCCATACAGTAGTGCCACCAGAGCGCATCTTAAAACCCCAAAACTTTATGGCACCAAATTCTTTTTGAAACATGCTTACCTGCAGCTACGCTTTTAATAATTGCAGTCGCCTCCAAATAACTGGCCGTCATCTTTCCTGCCATCGGTTCTCTGTCCAATCCTCAGCATAATGAACTGGTCCATCTCCCCTGACCCTCCTTACTGTATTCAGACATGCTGTTTCCCCTGTCCTTAACCCCTCCCCCCACCCATGAGACCCATGCATCCTCTGCAGCTCTGGCCCAGTTCCCCTTCATTCTGCTGCTCCCATCTCCTGGGACATGCTGCTTATTTATGCTCACCTTTTCTCTTCCAACTCCTGTTTTGATCTCTTCTGCAGCCTGCACTCTGCATTTCACTGAAGGCAACCGCACCAAACCACCTGTGGTCTCACTGCCAAATCTGAAGTGCCCCTGCCATTCTCCTTTACTTCTCTGATGTATCAGACATCATCCGTTACCCTCTCCCCTTTGACCATGACTTAGATACCTGGGGCAGTACGCTCAGCTTGTTCTCTTATTTATTTACTAGGTCATGTAGCGTTCCCAGTGGCAAGTTATTTTCCTGCCTCTCTTGAGATTCTTCAGGGATTTATTCTTGGCCCTCTGCTTTCTTTTCCTACACCAGGGGTGCAGAAGCTCAGGCCGGGACATCAAATCTGGCATGCCTGGCATACCAGTCTGATCCTCAGGGGTTCTTCAGGTGGCCATGACCCTTTTCCTAAGCATGGATTGCTTTTGGGTTTAAGCTTCTATGCAGTCTGCCCACCATTCAGGAAGGTTTAAATGCAGGGCATTTAAGCTAGAATATGATGTTATTTTTATATTTTTGGTCCCATCTCCTTGCTTTTAGCCCTGCCCACCACTGAGAAGTGGCCTCTGACAGTGACTTTGAAATAGATTTTCTGTCTTTGGCTAAAAGAAGTTAATCACACCTGCTGTGTTCATTCTACCTTGGTGATCCCTTCACATCCCACGGCTTTAAATACCATCTGTATGTTGACAACACCCATCTCTACCTCTCTACCTCAGGAATTCTTTCCTCTGCCCAGTCCTTTTTCAGACATCTATCTAGATAAATCCATTTGGATGAATCAGCACCTGCTCAAATTCAGTATGTCCAAATCTCTATCTTCCTCTTCTACTGCATCCTCCATATCTGTTGATACTATCTCCACTCAACATGTTGAACAGCGCCCCACTTTTCTCTTATTTTTGCTCCCAGTATTCAGTCCTTTGTCAACTCATATTGTTTCACCCTGTACATCATTGCAGGTCTAATGGCTACATCCAATTACTTAAGTGGAGTTCTCTCTTCCTTCTTCCCCTTTCAGCCCCTTGCAGAACCCCAACTCTGCTCTGGAGGGACCCTTCAGTTCTTCTGGCAGAAGAACACTGTTGGATACACAGTATCCTTCGATATGGCTCTTCCTTTCCATCCCATTGGTGAAGAGTCTCTCATGTTGACTACTACGGCCTTCTCTGTAGCACCTCAACCCTTTTACCTTAATTCAGAAACTCTGAAGGCCAAATAATCTATGTCTTTCCTCACACTGGCCATATGACACACCTCCTGATATCTCTTTCCCCTATTTCCTCCCTGCCCAAGTTACCTGACAGGTGTCTCCTTATCTCTCTGCTCCTACACTCCAAGATATGCCTGGTTGTGATCTTCAGTCCTCCAGTTCCTCTCCTAGAGCTCACTCCTAGAAACAGATGTGTTCCTTCCTTCCTTCCTTCCTTCCTTCCTTCCTTCCTTCCTTCCTTCCTTCCTTGCTCTGCTCTGCTCTGCTCTGCTCTGCTCTGCTCTGCTCTGCTCTGCTCTGCTCTGCTCAAAACCCTCTTTTCTGGAGAAGATTTACTTGAGCTCAGGGTGGTTAGATGGAGTTCCCAAGTGGCTCTGCATCCAACACTGGCCAGACCAGACCAGCTTAGCTTCAGCAAGGTGGCTTTTTTTGTGTTCAGTCCACGTCCTACAATGTAGTCTGTATGGCTAGGGACTAAATCAGGGTGGGCAACTTGTAGCCCTCCAGATGTTTTGCCCTCATCATTGACTATGACAGCTAGGGCTGAAAGGGGTTGTAGGCCAAACATCTGACCTAAATAACCCACTGAAAGAGTTAGCTAATAGTCCGTGTACCCTAGCATGCATGGCAGGTAATTTATCTCTGTGCAAGGCAAAGAGGTTTCCCTATTTCTGCGGATTCAGAGAAATTGAATGATTTCTCTCAGATGCAGGTTGCCACCCTGCCCTCGGAAGTTGTTCTCCAGCACGACAGGAAGTCAGTTTCACAAGCATTACTTATTTAGTCCCAGTGGTAAAGCTGCACTGATTCTTTTCCTAACCCAAATTCCTGGTCCCACCCAGAGTTGTCACCCTCCAAAGGGAAGGAGTTGCTTCTTGAGAAGCTCGATGTCCACATCCAGCCCACTACAGTACTGTTGACTTAATGCATCCGTCCTCTGCATTGTGCAGCAGATGTTGGTCTTGTTGATCTTTTGCACCACGACAGCTCCTGCTTAATATGCCCCTAGAGGAAGCACGGCAAAGCACAGGGTCACGGGGTAAGAACTCTAAATGGAATGAACTCATATAAAGTACTGCAGATTACATCAGAATGTACACTAGACTCTCTTAGGAGCTGATGTGAATACTGACTTGGGAATACCGCTTGAGTCAGACTGTTGGTCATGGATCTTGGCCAAGATCACAAACATTTCTATTAACTTGAAACTACAGAAGAATCCTGCACTGCCGGAGTATTATATTACCCCAGAGACTGACTAAAGAATAGGCTGGCTGCCTTCCTTTCACTATGGAAAGCATGCAGATGCCAAACGCAAATGCCAAAGGGATTCTTATACAATATGCTGGTTCTTTTAGAACAAGCATCTGTGATTGCCAGTACCGTCTCTTACTTCACATCCAAACTTCATGTGTTGGTCTATTCAGGTGTCACTTTCTGGTTAATAGATTTGTGCAAAGCTGGGATAAGATGCATCTCCATATCTTTTGATGGCTAAGGAATTTCTGTGTCTTCACTTTGAAGACATTTGATCAAGGAGATCTGCAGTTTGGGAGTTTCCCATGCCTTGTCCAAGGACTACTTCCATCAGTAAATCTATGCACATCTGTGTTTTCCATTTTGTCCCTGGTGGGAACCCATTATTATGTAAACAATGCAAGGACTTAGCCTCACGTATCAACAGTGTCCATGTGTGGATGTCATTGATTTGGCCTGTCATGTAAATATAACCATGTGAGCCGTCCCGAGGCTATAAGCGTTGGGATGGCATACAAAAACTCTAAACAAACAAACAAACAAACAAACAAACCAGTAGCTTTAGGTCGGATGTAGATTTAACAATGCTGGATCAACCATGCATTACTTCTGCGCCCCCTTCTTCCCACAAAAGCCTCTTCAGCCTCCTGAAAATACTATAAGGAAGACTACAGGACACACGTACCCTATCACATGTGCTGGGGGATTAGCATAATTGCCCTCAGCAGGGATTGTAGTGCTGTGTGAACCCAGCTAGGGTGGCTTGTCGCTGTGGTTAACCCTACAGCAGCCCATGAATTCTGGGTGGCTTGGTAACCACCACAACAAGCCACCCTGGACACATGCAGGCAATACTGCCTAGAGTCATTATGCTAATCCTCCTGGCACATGACCAGCTTACACAGCATGGGTAACAAACAAACCAGGTCAGAGAGTTGGGAGATTCTGCTGAATGGGGTTGAGTTGTGCACAGTGAAAGGAGGATCCTCACATATCAGGCAAAGGGACCTTCTACAGGCAGAACTCTACCTGCTTTGGAAGGGAGATCCTGGCTCCAGCCCTACAAAAGCAACATCTGCAATCTATGAATACAGCAGAACCACCATATCCACTGTCTCAGTTACTGCAGTTTCACTTAAATGATGTTGACTGTCAGCCTTCCACATTCACATGGGTTAGGGGTGCAGGACACCACAAACGTGGAAAAATGGCAAATATCTTTAGAGAAACCCATGTCTGGGAATGCCATGCTCTTTGTCTCAGCACTAGCCAGCCTCACTCACATGTTTTGTCTCTCAGTGCGTGTGAAGACTCAAGAGATATTTGTGGTTTTTCTCTAGACATACTCATGTTTTTTCCACTTTTGCAGGGGTCTTGTGCCCCTAAACCGCCGAATGCAGTGATTGCTATTATCTGCCGTTTCAGGCATCCCCTGGGGGCTTGGAACCCATCCCCATGGAAGTGGGCATTCTGGTGTAATGCTGAATCTGCATTTGTACTGTGGAATCAGTTCTCCAATCCAGAAATGCTCCCTGCAGTGGACTGAAGGTTCTGTTTGTTGCATTTCTCCATGTTGGCATGTTCTGCCATTGAATTCTGCCATTCTCTGTTAAGATGCATCTCTCCTTGAGATGAAAAAGTGTATCTCCGACTCTTCTTTCTTACCCTGTTGTTTTAGTTCAGTTTAGTTTGCTTCGCAGAAGATGTAATTCATATCTACTTGCTTTGTTCCCCCGCCCCACTTCCTTCTTTGTCCAGATTCTGATGGCAGCTTTGGCCAAGACTATGAAGAACGTCATCAATGTGCTTGTCTTGTTGTTCTTGTTAATATTTATCTTTGCAATTTTGGGCCACGGTTTGTACAGAGACCCTGAGAATGGAGACCCTCAGAACTGGGGCACTTTAGCAGCTGCCTTCTTCACTCTCTTCAGCTTAGTAACGGTAACGTACACAAGTGTTTCAGTCCTTGGCTACTTCTGTTAGATAAATTGTGTTAACTAATATTCCTGACTTGGAGCAAGAAGGAAAAATGTTGACGCTTTCAACTAACAGTGACATTAAGTTGGATCGACACCATTTTGGGGGTGCAGCAAGGAGAGACATCAGGAAATGTACTGCAGTCCTGCGTGACTCTAAGAGGACAGGTGTACGTACCTTTGCATTTTAAGCCTTTTCTTCTCGGGGCAGCTGAATAATTTTACACTCTGGACCCATTTATCTACTGAGATGGGGGGAAAGGGAGTTGAGATGGTATTGGTGCATTTTGGTTCATTAGTGATTTAGTAATTTTTTCCCTTCTCCTTGCCTTCCAATCGCTATTGCATGCTTTACAACTGCTTCTACTTTCCTAACAAGCTAGCGCAACAAGCAAACAAGTTGCTTCTAAAGACAGACAGACAGACAGACTCTGACCGTATGCAGGTCCACATTTTGAACTCATAGCTCTATCATAATAGTATGAAAGACCATAAAATTTGCTTCTGTCACCCTCATGCTAAGCCCTGTAGAAAAAAAATGATAATATATTTTTGAGTAAAATAATAATGAAATGTACATCGGTAATTATTTACAGGTTGCCCCAGACCATAAAATATTTTCAAAAGTTAAGCAAGAAAAGGAGGTCATGGAAAGCAGCAGTAGCAGCAGCCCAATAGGTCTCCACTCTGCCTCTAGCAATCCAGACGTTGGCACCAGACTTACTTGCCACTGTTCGTATCACCCACTGCTTGGCTGTGGGCCCCTGAACTTCAGCCCCGTGGCCCTGCCCCAGCTTTCTTGCAATGTCCTCACCATGCCTGGACTGACTCTGGGGGCAACATTGTGGTGACTTTTTATCAGTTGCCTCTGAACCTTTCGGTGTTGATTCTTGTGCACCAACACAAACAGCAGTGCAGGAACCAACAGAGGAGGACGGCTGTTCTCCCGTCTGGTATTCAGGAGTGGGATGCTTCTGATCCTGGAACCAGTTCTGCATCCATCCTGACTAGCAGCCTCTGCCAGACTTGTCCCTGCCTTAATTTGTCTACCGAGGGGTATTGAAGGACAGATGTGAACAGGGAAAAGAAACATCAAAAGAAATACAATGGGACAAGGGAAACAGTATGGATGAAGCCTCAGGTTACAACCTGGTAATCTTTATTATGGTTATGTAAGATCGGTTGTTTTCAGCCTGGAGGTAGGCAATGGTTGGCGCATGTCCGTCTTACAGAGCGAGGCATGTGTTACATTCAGGCGGTGCTTTATATGACTCTTGACTGATTTTTATTTTAGAAATAGTGACTGATCTGATGAATTTTTAGGTTGATGGCTGGACAGACTTGCAGGAGGAACTGGATAACAAACAAATTGTTACAAGCCGGACATTCACAATAGTGTTCATTCTGCTGGGATTTTTTGTGTTTTTCAACATGTTTATTGGAGTTGTCATTATGGAAATTCAGGTAAGTGGCCATTGTATGACAGCAGGAATAATTTTCTCTCTATTCAAGTCTGTTTATTTGGTAACTGCCATGGACCAAGTGTCTAAAAACAAAACAACACCCCAAGATAGAAAAGTTGGAAGTAAAAGTGTGACCTTCTTATCACTGTAGAATTAGAACAATATTTTCTCTTAATATTTCTTCTCATCTAACAAAAGCTCTGGTGGGAACATCCTTCTGAAATAATTTTTGTTGTACTTAGTCTGGTCCAATTTAGACATGTACAAGCACTATGAGTAAAGGGAGCTGGCAAAAACTGAACCATGTCGGTCATTATACTCATCCTGCACTGTTTATACATCTGAATTGAACTACAGCAAGTAGATTAACATTAGTTCAGATTGTCCTTGTCTTTCTGCAAGCAGGAAGGTGATGAGCCATCATGGTGATAATACCAATAGTTCATATGAATGACTTCAAATAAATTTTTGCTTTCACTTCTGCACAGCAATTTATCATATTTATCATACTACTTCGTCATATTGTCGCACACTCTGTTCTGCTGCGCAGAGTGTCTTTCTGGATCCACTATGATCTGTCCGGTAATAATGAATTATAATTAATAGGCTCCTTGATGCAAGGGATCACTCTTTGGATTGGCATTTGGATTGCCAGATAACCCACCCTGTGAAATCAGCTGTGGAACTAATTTGCAGAAAATAAAGTCCCGTTTGCACATAAAGCTGGCAAATCCTCAATGGCTCAAGCCACAGTTTGCTACAGTGTGTGCCCAATGTGTGCTGCTGCCATTTTGAATATATGAGGTTGCTTTGTGATGTGTGGATTAACAATGGGTTAGTTGTGAATTAAACAACTCATAGTTAAGCTAATGGATTGAAGGTGAACTGTGGGCTGTTTAATCCATGACTGGCCCATAGTGTCTGGTTTATCCCTCACAGAACAGCCCCTCATTGGGCTGTTTGGAGGCTGGATATTCAAAATGGCAGTGGCACACAAGCCATGATTTGCCCCACAGTTGCCGCTATATGTGAACATTTGGGGCTGGGGTTTTGGGGCCTTGAATTTAGACAGAGGAAGCAGTTTGGGTCCTGAGGCTTCATTGCTGTTGCTGCTTTAAGACTGGTACTGCCCAGTCACACCCATCTTTGCTGACATCATTGCAGATAAGCAGACATGGCAACCTTTTACCCTAGGCGCACCTAGGGCTGTATGCATCCCTTTCGAAAATGAATGAAAAATGAGACAAATACACCACTCTACTTTCTAGTTTGATTCTACAAACAAACAAAGAAAATCAGAGAAAGACCTGTGAGAAATGAAACCCTTTCCTTGCTACCATCCATTTCTCATACGGAGATTTCTTGTGACTGACAGAAGGCCCTTCATGCGATTGCTTAGCAAATTCATATATACTGTCGCATCCAGGAATCTTCTGTAGGAAGGGATGCCTCGGAGTGTTCTGGAAGTGAGGAGCATTGACCCCAATGCAGAAGCCATGCCTCGGGATGATCGCCACTGCGAGGCCATCCCAGCGCATGCTGGACCACCATCCGTGCATGGTGCAGGAAGGTCTGAGGTGGAGAGTGTGCATTCGGGGCCTCTGCACATGCAGCGACTCCTGCACCATTTGGCTTCTCAATCATGTGGGGGAATTAAACCGATTGAGTAGCGCTGCTTCGGACCACCTCCTTGGAGACCGTTGAGAGATGGCATGAGACGGGGTGGAGGAAGCAGCCCCAGTGATCCTTAGGGCGGGAGGGCAGGTGGTCTCATCTGCCCCTTGCCTGGGAGATTCCATGTGTCTATGTTTACACAATACCTTGGGAAAGGAGCCAAGATGCTTGCTCATCCCCACCTGCACAGGTGGCGGTGCACGGTGTGATTTGTGTAATGACATGAGGGTCAAACTGAGCCAGGGGCAAGGAGGAGGCACTTCCCAAGCCACCCTCAAATCCTTGGCTTCTTCTAGAGTTCTGGGGTGATTTGGAAGCCTGTCCCTGCTGGGCACCTTGGTGGGTTCACATTTATTTATTTATTAAAACATGACAATCCCATCTTATATCCAAGATGAATCTGTAGACAGTTTACAGAAGACAAAAGCCACAACAGCACTTAACAAACATGATCTCCAATATTTAAGCATATACAGGGAAAACCACTCAACCCTTAAAATACTGGGTGAATACAAAGGCACGGCAACCCACCTTTCACGAGGTCAGTCATGCAGCATTTGAGCGGCATGGGTGGGATGCAGAAGAGAGTGAACTGCTGTGGTTTTTTCTCTCTGGTGACTGTGCAAACCTGAGGCTGTGTTGGCGTTATGTGCCTGAGCAGGGCTTGGCCAACCAGCCTGTCTGAAGCGGGAGGCACTGGAGGCACAGAGGATGTCTGCCCCCCATTCATCGCTGCTTCCAAAACAGCGGAGAGCCCTTAGGATGCAAGAAGTGGAGAGGATTTCTGTTTCTGCCAAGACCACTTACTGTCCCTTGTTTTGGTATGCGTAGCATTCAACAGAGCAATATGAGCAGAAGCTGAAAACGGAGAGGAAGGCTGCTCTGCTTGCCAAGAAGCAGGCCATCTTAAAGAGGCAACAAGAAGAATTAAAAGAATTGCTCCTTCAGCAGGTTAGCAATATCTTTCATATTGTTATCATAGCCACATGCTTTTTAAAGTCGAGGCCTGTATTAATTAGCCTCCATGAAGTCCTAGTATTATACAATTTCAAAAATAAACCAAGTTGCGGAGTCTCATTACATTTAAAGCTGAGACTTGTATGGTTCACTTTGCTTAGAAACACAAGAAAGTTTATTTCGGTTTCACTGTGGCTTTTTTCCATGCTGCCAGCTGTGGGGCCGACCCCGGGCCAGACGGAATCTAACTGGTCAATAGAGAGCATTATGCCTGCTTGTGGTGTTGAAACCAGAGATTGCCAAACTCTTTTGGTTGGTTGGAGCCTTTGGAAGTTTGAGCACATTGTGGGTGCTTTCGCAAAGTGGCTGCCATGCACAGCCAGTTATTCCCCAGAAGGCAAACTGGTTAGATTAAACACTAAGTAACTTGCTGAAGAACCTCAGTGCAAGGCACTGTGGGAGGGTTGTCTGAGCTCCAAAATACAGGACTGCTTTTGAAAAGCCCAAATAAAGATGGTGCTGGAGCACGGCCCTTCACTGTGCAGTATGTTAGCCCCCCAGTGGGGGGAAATAGTACAATAGTCCCCCAAAATTTGCGGGGGTTGCGTTCCTAGAGCACCCACAAATTATGAAAAACCGCGAATTTTGAATGTGGTAAAGGTTCATTGCCAGAAGCCTTAGCACTTAGTTGAAAGATGCTGGCGATGGGCACCAAGGTGGTGCGCATGGGGAGCGCGGGCCGGGCCGAGGGTGGGCGCGCGTGTGGCGAGGCAGGGGCCGGGCCGAGGGTGGGCGCGCGTGTGGCAAGGCAGGGGCAGGGGCGGGCGCGCGCAGAGATCGTTTCCTCTGAGAGAGCCCAGACCGATCTCCTTGTGAGCAGGCTGCTCGCAAGGAGATCGGTTTGGACTCCCTTGGAGAAAACAATCTCCTTGCTCACAAGCCGCCGCACAGAAAATTCTGCAAAAGACTGAGGCCGCAAACGCTGAGCCGCGACTTCACGGGGATGTACTGTAATTAAAACAATCTCAAAACATGACATAAAATTAGGGAGAGGGGAAGGAGCTGGGTAGATGCCCAAAGTGGCGTCCTTGGGGTAGATTGATGCTCATAAGTACCCCACTGGGATCCCCGGCTTGAGGCAGAAGGAAAATGGATTATTGCGATGACCTGTCTGCTCCACTGTCCCTTTTTATGTTGTGGTATAGAATGCTGCACCTTTCCTAACAAAAGAGCCCTGGCCTGCTCTGCCTTGGGGTAACTTTCACATCTGCACCTCCTGTACATACATTTGCATTCCCATGTATGGCAGGGTGCCATGGGCCATTTTGAAATTTGGTGGTGCCTTTTTGGTTCCCTTCCAATGGTTTGGAAAGGAAACCAGAGACACGTGGAGGAAACCTGTTGAGAAACATGGCGCTAACCAACTTTTGAGGTCTTTGGGACCCTTCTTCACCACAGCTTGGAAAGTTTTAGCACTGAGGACTGGACAAACCTCCTAAAGTTTTAAAGCTGCTATCCATAAACATCTCACAAAAGCATCTTGAATACATTGCAGAAATTCTGACCTGGGGTGGCTGCTGCTACTTTAGGGAGGAGGGTTTGCCCCTTTCCAGTGTTGGTTATTGACCATTTGCGGGCATTGGTGGGGACAGTCCTTCGTTCCGTTACATCACCATGCGGGTGTTTAAATGGTGTGCCTCTCCTTTCATATCAGAAATCGACTGAATATCAAACTTTTGATGAACTGGTGGAAGACTTTAAAAAAACCCTGCTCCATTCAGATCCCGTGATCTTAGAAGAATTCTGTGCCAGCTTGCCATTCATTGATCTTTATTTGACATCTCTGGACCGCCAAGATGCCACAGTATATAAGTAAGCACCTAACATTTCATAAATAAATAGAATAATGCTTGGAGTGTGCTCCTATCACTTTTAGTGACGGGTGAGCTTCGCCCAGCAGAAATTACAAGTTGTTCGTCAGGTTTTGAACTCCTCTGTCCAGTCTCAGATGAAGTCCCCATTAGTTCAAGTTCTCATTTTGTGTATAGGAAGTGCTGAAGGAGCACAGCTCTTCCGCTTGCCCACCTGCCGGGCTGCACTGCTCCCTTCTTGCCTGAAACCTTGTGTACACGTGCTCCTAGCAGGTGGTTCTTCCTTTGGGAGAAAGAGATAAAGGTGCTACTACAAGCACAAAGCAGGGTTTCGGAAAAGCTCTTTTCTAGCTGAAAGAACCAGGGAAAAGGCATGTGTGCTACACATGTTCTCGCAGTCTGTCTCAATTTAAATAACAAAGTTTGTTGGGTAGTTGTCTAAGACTGGCATGCACATGAGCATAACATTACGAGCTATGTCAAATCTAATTTTGAGTTTTGCCAGCATGATTAATTAAAATACCCATTATACATTCAGTTCTTAACACTGTACTTAAGTCCTGTACTGTGTACCCTAAAGTCCCATGGAAACACTGAAAGAAGTATAGAGCATCGTTCTCCAGGAAAGGAGTTAAGGATTTCAGAACATGGCTGAGGGGTGGTATACCTCTTCCTGGTATGTTTCTCAGAATTAAAGGCTTTCTCTGTATCTAAAGAGAGCACTTTAAGAAAGGTTCTCCCAGAGATACTGTATTTCCAAGTGCAAGATGATCTGGAAGTGGAAAGGAGGATACAGTTCAATCTCACCATCACCCCGTCTATACATATCCAGGTAACTGCACCACACACTTTTTCTAAGTAGGAATCAGCTCTGAGAGAGCAGTTGAAGTGGAGGAAGGAACAGAGTAGATTCCTCTTTAATATCTACTCCTACTTCTTAACCATTTGCACATGTAAAAACAGAGTACAAGAACAGAGTCAGGGTGCATCTGTGGTAAACAGAGAACTTAGGTTACTAAAGGGAAAAAAAATATCTTTCACTCTTGTTAAACCATGTTATAGGATGACCATGTGTCCTCTTCTACAGAGGAGAGCCCTCTGTTTGAAGGATGAAAACCACTGGAAGGGAGAGCTTGGCGTTCCTGGGACAAAAGACTGGGAAAAGCACACAAGTCACTTGGCTATAAATATTTCTATTTAACTTACACTAATTATTTCTAAATTTGTACAACCCAATGCCTTCTTTTGTCCTTCTTTGTGGGTACTATATGTATATGCATACTATATATCTATTGTTACAGATTTGGCCTTTGCAGAGTGCTTTGAAGATACAGTTCTAGTATTTAAGGATGCCAGTCAATGACTTATGACTGATTAATATATTTAAAATAAAGCATATACTAAAAGTAGTTACAGGTGGATTCAGTTTTGGTTTTGTGCTAATTAAAATTAGTGAGGGTGAGAAAAACACAAGTTGCCACCCCTGCAACTCTAGATCAGTACTCCCCATCCTGGTGGCCTGCAAAAGTTTCACATTTCAACTCCCATCAGCTCCAGCCAGCAAAGCCAACAACCAGGGATTCCAGGGCTTGTAGAACAAAACGTTTGGGAAGTTTGGGAAAGGCCACTCTGAGCCCGCTGATGTATTATTCCAGCCTTTTGGAAGCTACAGAGAAGCTTCAGACCAGAGACATGAGTTGTTCTTTCAAAAGTCTGAAGCTCCTCTTAGGGGCTGAAGAAAAGATAAACTCAAGAGTGTGTTGGCAGCTTGTTGAAAAAGGCTTGCTTACCTTTTAGAGAAGTTGTCCCCCAGTAGAGGGCTTGATATTTTGTCTATCCCACACGGAGGCTCTGTGATTTTCTCCAGAAGGCCGCCCCGGGCATAAAAGGGGGTCCCTGCGTCACTGGCACCCTACTGATCGCATCAGAGTGCCTTTATGCCTTAAAGTACAATGAGAAGAGACGGAATAAGTTTGCGTCTTATGTCATTCCAGGCTGCAAGAGCTCTATTACGAAATCGTTGCCACTTTGACAACCCTGCTGCAGGAATCGCAACAAAGGTCTTTACAATCCTTGCAGTCTTTCAGGGCCAAATCTGGGTCATCCATTATTTTGAATAAAAACAAGAGTTTCATTTATTTAAAAGAGTGGAGGTGACTTTGTCCCCGTTTGGAAAAAAGAACTTTCTTATACACTGCTTGAGTACATGAACATCCAACAGAGCTGGGAGTTTACCCTGTTCTTTTCACATTTTGGGAAATGTAAACCTAATTTGACTGCCTCGCTAATGTATCTTCATGTTTGCGGCTGTATCTCTACTGATCTTCATAGGCTTTGGCCCAACGGTTAGATCATCTCTTGTGATTTTTCTTCAAGGCCATGTGGTAGTTGTTAACTGTTAAACCCAGATGGGCTGCAAATTGAAGATGGTGTGCTGTGCACATGGGAGGGTTTTCCTGTTGTTTGCTATGGATCAAGGATAGGTGACTATGCAAAAGCATCCTTCACGCTGCCGTCAAGGGGAACAAAGCCCACAAAGGAGAGCGCGCACGATTGTAACCGCCAGTTCAACGGACACATGCAAACCATCGGCTGTGTCATGAAAGCATTTGGTTCCCTGGCTCCATGCTGCTTCTTAAGCTGCCCCTTAGGTTGTTCTGCACTTGTGCCCAAATGACATAGAAAATGCGCTGCTGCTGCTGCTGCGAATAGCCACATTTTGGGTGCAGGTTGCAGCCATGAGAGTCAGCGATGAATCCTCCATAAAGTGAGACGCAAGTGTCTTGAGATGTAATTTGCTTGCTTACCGTAGCTTCCTCTGAGAGTGTCCTTGGATGTTTTCTAGAACCTTCCCAATAAAGAATGGCAAGGTACCTCCATCCAGTAACACCCCCTCCTCTATTACAGTGCTTATTCTTCAAAAGGGACAATTTGGAATTTCCAGTATCCCTCATCTTTTCATTGTTTCTGATTGCATTCAGGCATATGTTTCAGTTCAACTCCAATGAATCTTCTGAAGGCACTAATGAAGAGCTCATGCTTCATTTATGACAGCTTGTATTGTAAGAGCTTATATCTTCTGATAAAGACTGGAACCCTTTAGCTTTGCTTATACAAGGGAATAAAATCTATTTTATTAGAGGCTAGTGGAAGCACCCCTGCCCCCATCTTAATGCAATGCATATGCAAGGCTAGGAGAGCTTATCTAAGTTCAACGGGACCCTCACCTCACAAATGGAGTATATACAGTATCCTTGCATAGAGTTTGGGCAGGAGTAAGAACATGCTCTCCAGAGCATGCTCTTTTGGATGACATCTCCCATAATCCTTGGCTGGGGCTGATGGGAATTACAGTCCATCTGCTGAGCGCCAAGTTGCCTATCCCTGGGTCAGGACAAAACAGTGGTTGGGGAAAGAACTCATGTCCATGTAATGCGACTTGACTTCCAAGCTATCAGAGGAGACTTGGGGGTGAATCAGCTGAAACAGATGCTTGGAATGCTATTCTTAGTCTGGGCAAGATGGAAGAGATTCTCTGTAGTGATTAAGTTCATTGTTCTGGAGCTCCTAGATGCTGCCCATTCATGGGGAGAATGTATCAAATGTTGAGCCTGTGCCCCCCTTGAATTAACCCAAAGTATGAGAAATGGCAAGGAAACACTCCAGACACCAGTGGATGGAGAAACCTTCAGCTCCTGGAGTATTTTGAGATTTTCACGGATAGAATTTACCAATCCTCTCCCAAGGAAGCAAAAGCAAAGCTCGCAATAGTTGATGCTGAGTCTTCTAAGCTTGCATTGAAGCTTCATATTCATATTACAGCTGTGAAGCACTTTGTGATTATACATAGTGGGCTGGGGTATAATATTACGCAAAGTACCACTTGAAAAATGTTCTCTTTAATAGTAAGTGGTTCGTCTGGATCACTCAATGGCTTTTTAGCAGTAAAATAAATTAGAAACAGACGTGAACAGTATCTAATTCTAGGTTCAGAAATGTTTGAAAAATGATGCCCATAAAGCAAAATTATTGACACTTTCTGACAGAGATATGGGCTAATTTTTTTGTTTAACTTTTAGTTTAACACAGCAAGTTCATTTATCATTCTGCACATACCTTTTGGCGTGCCACTCACTTGGCCAAACTGGGTTTTGCTTTGCACAGCTAAATCATTCTGAGCCTGGGTTGTGCCAACGAACAAAAATTCCTCTCCAAAGACTATCGGCATTGATTTCCTGTTTTATAGGTCATTCTTGTACACTGGAAGATTGTGTGCCATTTATTAGTTACACAAGTGCAGTATGCATTGGACAGAAGTGGCTAAATTTGACTGGGCCATTTAATCCAGCCATTTAGTATATTTGGACTACTTTTAATCATAGTCTTGGATGTACCATATAATTTCAACAGCTTCCACTCAATTTCCTCATTACCTTCTCAAAATGATGGGTCCCAGTTCAGAGATAGAAAGCAGATTGCATTTAATTTTGGTATATTTACATTCTGCCACTTATTTTTATCTTAATCCTGTCTTACTTTTCAAGATGGCTTGCAAGAGGATCCCTCCTACACATGTACCAACTGATAAAAAAGACAACAGCAAAAACACAAGAACATAAACAAAAAAAAGTTAGAGCAGCAGAAACTAAACATCCAAGGAAAGTTTGGACACTAAACATGCACTGAAAAGGCCATGAGCTGTACTAAAAGCTTGTACGAACAACTGCATTTTTAATTGGTATCTAAAGGCCATTTGGGAGGGTGCTGATCAAATAGAAAGGGGATGGTGCTCCACAGCTGAGGTGCTCCCATTGAAAGATCCTGTCTTTGTTGCTACACGTTGGGAGTGTGTCTGAAGTTGGGTGCCCCCTGAACAGACCTTAATGGATTGGTGGGTTATTCTTGCTGCTGCACATGTTGCTTGAAGAGATGCTTGGCAATGCCAGCATTTCATTGATGGTTTCTGTGGGTGCATGCATGGGTGTGTATTTAGGGACTGGGGCCCCCTTACCTCAAGAGAGTTGCTCAGTGGGGGTGGGGGAACATACGATTATCACTTAATGCCTCCTTTTACGTATAAGGGATTTCTCAACATACTTTCCCACCCAGATCATTCTGCCAAAATGTGCTAATAGTGTAATTCTCCAGGGTCTTCCAAGCTGCAAATCTATCTGCAGTTATCTATTTTCTGCCCATTTTCTTTGGGAAGACATTTACAACCGCAAACAGAAGTCCCACATAAAAGTCCAAAAGAGGAATCAATGATACAAGTTCCCACTAAATTTGGTTTTCATGATGTCATTTGTAGTAATTTCATGTTTTATGAAGAACACTTTCTGAGACTTCCGCAGCATAGTGAAAACATATGTAGCTCCAGAAGACAATATGGGACCATTTTCTTGGAGAGAGTATATCAAAACCTCTTCTTTTTCTTTTAAACTTTGACAGTTATATAGACCACATTTCAGCAAAACAAAGAAAGCATAGAACTTCTTACCTTAATGGTGACCTTGCTTCGTGTTGAACACTAAATTCTGTCGGAAATAATTTAATACTGTCTGAAATATCCATATGCTCTGAAACAATAAGCAAAGCACACATTGAATAGAAAATATGATTAAATATGATGCATCTGCAATAGTGTTATTATAGGGCATGGCGTTAGATTTTATATTGCCTAGTCCTATGTCTTGCAATGTGTTTTAGCTGTAGTTGTCACTTGGTTTTGGGGTGCATCAAAATGGATATTGGAGGATGAGGATGGAATTTGTCAGTGGCACTCAGAAGTACCTCACTTCAGAGGATTGTGCCTTGTTCTGCCCTTCCTTAAAACACAGTTGGATAAGAAGACCAAGAACCACCAGCTGGTGGCCCATTGACCAATTTCCAGTGGATCACCTGGAAGCAGCCAGTTGCAGAATTCCTGGCCAAGATGGTGCACTTGTGCAAACCCAGCAAGGCTGCCATCTCTTAAGCAAGCCAGAGTGCGTGAGGAAGGGGAAGATGGTGTTTCTTACATTCATTGGTGAACCCGTCGATCCTGCTGAAACAGAAGGCATCTCCTCTGAATCAAGCCCAAAATTATGTAACCGTGTACCAATTCTTCACTTGAATCTGTTCAGATCTTACTGGTTTTCTTTGTCATTCTGATGTTTAGAATAGTGTGATCGAATTTAAACTGTGATGGGAAACTAAATGACATTTGGTTCTGTAGTCATGTTGCAGTTATGGCCTTGTTCAGAAAAGACATAACTAGAGCAGCAAGAAATTTTTAACCGAGCAGGTCCTCCTGCCAGGGGACTGCAAAAGGCCTATAGGTGAGTTCTTTGCAAAAGCTTGAGCACCCTGTAACCTGAGCTTAAGTGTGCATGAGAAAATTTTGCACCGGCCAGTCAACTCTGGCTGTTTTGCAAGGGCACCACGTTGTCATCTAGGACCAGGGCATTCACATTTTGAACAGTTAACCTAAGAGGATTCTGAGTTTCACATGCAACTTAAGGAGACTTACCTAGCCAGACCAACACATGCATGAATCTTCATTATTAAATATATGGGGCAGTATGCTGACGGAGAAAATTGGCCTGCATTAATATCTCAAAGGCCCTGAAAATAATAACCAAAACCTCAGAATGCAATCCTCTGAGTTTGTTAGGGCCTGAAGTTTATTTTAATTCATTATTTCTACATTTGCCTTACACTATAGTAAGGCTGGAAGACAGATCTGAAGAGAACTACTTCCATGTTTCTCAGTGTGTGAAATTTGTCTTGAAGGTGGAACATTCAGTCCCCCTGTGACACACACACCAACCTCGAGGGTGACTTCCCTCCATATATGTGGAGGATAACTTACGAAAAGCGTTGGTCTGTGGTCTATGCCAGAGTTTTTGCTGCTTGACGTGGAATAGCAAATGCTGCCCACCGCTCTCCAGGGCATGGCACGCACACAACCCAAGTCTGACCAAGTTGTTATGGACCTAAGACAACAAATCCGGGGGGGGGGGGCAAAAATAATACACCAAAAAATAAGTTAAATAATTAAAAATGGCAGGCACCTACTCTGCCTAATGGTTGAGCTGACCCTGCATATCAACAGTTCAGAATCCATGAGGATTTTGGGAGATGTATGGAATCATAAGAGCTGGGAGGGCTTTGCAGGG